GGGCATCTAGAAAACAAACAAATTTGCAGACCCCCTAGGGTATAGTGTTGGCTCTTAATTTGGACATCTCTAGATCCGCCCCTGAAGTGTACTACTGTTTTAATGTTCGATATGGTTTTATTAGTACACTGCCAAGCCACTGTAGTAATTTGTGAACTAACAACTTTTATTTGCTTTTGAATAATTAGTTGATGACCTTCTTAAGAACACAACTCTGAAGGTTGTAGTGTACAATGGACAGCTTGACCTTATTTGTGATACCCCAGGTAAATGTACTGTTCAAACTTAGATTTAGGAAGCTACCAATAACTATTATAACACATGTATGTTAAGTGCATCATTTGCATTTGTATGTAAACTTTATAACCTGTATTTTAAAGTTCATCACCTGCATTACGTTAATACACTATAGTCCTACATCTCCTTCTCAGTTGGCAAACACTGTGAGTTAGTTGCAAAGGCTTAATCCCTGTCCAGAAAATCAAAATTTTATTTGACAAAAGAATTATGTGACATGCCTAAATATGGTTGTACTGACATCACATCATGACCACAAAAATAGGATGAATATATATGTGCACATCAGAAAATTTGATAATCTCGACAAAGCTTTATACTGATCTCTACAAAATTAAGTACTCTGCGGTGCTCCTGTGACCTTCACTTGCTCATCCGTTAGAGATAATTTTGTGTCTGTGTAGGACTACCAGCATCATCTGATTTCTAATATTGTCTTGTACAGGTACTGAACTTTGGTTGGAGAAACTGACTTGGCCTGGCTTGTCCAGTTTTGATGCTTTGAAGTGGAAACCATTGTACACAGTAGGCAGTCAAACAAAGGCATTTGTCAAAACATACAAGAACTTCAGTTTTTACTGGATTATGAATGCTGGGCATATGGTAGGTACCATTGTGCGCGTGTCCATGCTGCAGTCAGTTGATGCTTGATAGGGGTAGAAGTCAAGCAGGGGTTTTAACCAATGCATCACCTAGGGCCTCAAGTCAAGGTCCTGGTTTAATATGACTGGTGGAGTTTAATGGGAGGGATTTTATGGTAAAGAATTTTGCTTGTAGACCACCACCATACGAAATGGAGAGGTGCCCGGAGAGGCATTCAGTCTGGACCACCTCAGCCCCACCAGAAAACTTGATTATCACACTCTCAGACCTAAATTTGATTATAATTATCCTCTTTTATCCATTTTAAAAAATAATGTTAAAAATTTTAGGAGGGCCGGCTCGCCCCGCCCCGCAATCTTTTTCTAACTCATTTTGATATTCTTCTCCAGGTTCCCGCCGATGCTCCTGATATGGCTTTGAAGATGATGAAGATGGTTGTGAATCAAGCGGATGAGTAGGCCTATAGCTGGACTATGGTGCTACACATTTTTATCTTGCAATTTTAATAAACATACTGTGACAAGTTCAGTTAGTGAATGCAATGTGGGAATCAGGATATTTTATTAGATGTTTTGACTGCTTTCGCAGTCTTTTAACATGCACATCTACAGTTTGCTCTCCAATTCGAGACCACTTTTAGAACCTGATAATAATTTGTGGTGGCCTCTAGGTTCTTTCTTCAATTAAAGGATTAGCTTTGTGTAAAAGACAGAAGATTGTTATTTGGTTCACAAAGTGGTCTCGTATGAGGGTGCACTGTATAATTGTAATGTCATTAGAGTAAGTCATTTTATTAGCAATTCTACCTCCACAAGTTATACATTCAGGCCTGTTTGTTAGCATGATTAGGCAAAAACTAATGAATGTATCATCATTAAATTTAATGGAGCGATAGATTGGATTAGACAGCGACATTAGAAAAGTAAAGCGAATAAATAACAATACAGTGCTACTGCATAGCTGAAAGGCAATAAACATGTTTTAAATGTTTTTTAATGAATTGTTATTTTATAATTCTATGTTTAGCTGAGCTGCATAAATGGTAAAGCATAACATGAGTACTAACTATATTGAGTGATGAAAAGTAAAATTCTTTTCTGTATGTTTACGTAATATATATCTCAATAGATATTTGTAGAGTGTTAATATTCATGTAATAATAAAATGTTCAGTGACAATGATTTTCACGGAATGAGTTAAAAAATTGTTTATTTTTGTAGTTCTAAAACAATGATTATGCATGGCTATTATTGTTATGTCCAGGGTAGTATGAATATTGATGAGGAGTCCAGGGCAGCACAAAAGTGAAATGAATATTAACGAGTTAAGACAAGTGCACAGTAGTAGAGTATGGAAATATGCTAATTTGTTATCCAAGGAGTTAGCAGTTCAACAGTACATAAGCCCACCTTAGACTTGCCACAAGTCCCTTGTTATAGTTTTTTTTTTTTTATAGCTTTATTCCAGACAGCGCCGCCAACGAGCGAATAAAGTTGTGTTATAATTTTATCTTCGGTTGAGTCGTAACAAAAAAAGAAATCCAGTATGGGATGCCAATTACATTTGGTATGGTGCGCATTAAGTGCAATAAAAAGTGAATAACCCAAAATTAGGGCCTGGAATCCAGGCTAAAGCCCACCTGTACGTAAATTAGGTTACAGGGGGTCGGTATGAATTTTTAGAAAACCTGGGATGGGGACGTGTGGCAGCTGCAGTGCTGCACTAGTCCTAGTCGTGAATTGGGTAAACAAAACAATCTTCTGATATTTCTGAATTGAATAAGCGTAGTGTGAAACAGGTACAGATCTATGAGCAGTAAAGTATCTAGAGGTGAGGGGGTTCTTACATATCTCAAAAAAACCTTGTTTTTAATTTAATGAAAACATCCGAGCAAAAAAATCGCATAAAATCATTTTATTTTGTGACCTATCTTCCCTCACTCCACCTTTGCGCCCCCAATCAGATCCCCCAACTCAAGGCCCTTGGATACACCACTGTCTACAAGGTATCTGTCGATGAGCTTTAAACAAGGATTGTGGGCATATGATTTGTTAAGGGGTACTGGAGATCCTTCTTTTCTAATTATAGGGTTGAGGGCATATTCACTTAGAAGCTCCAGAGGTTTAGCCATTTTAATCTTTTATATACACAATTTGAAGCTTGGTTAATATTTATTATCTGTTACCTTGGAGATAGGATGCTATCGCCACTGGGAACAAACTACTGTAAATCATAAAATCATGCCACTTCTCTTGTTTCAAGCCATTCATTCTGCAGTGGTGACGCACAGCACTCATTACATTTATTATTCTAACATTTTGTTTGCTTTTACCTCGCATCCATATCTCCTCTCTTCTCTGTGTCATGAGAAGTCGTAGCCTTTCATATACTGTACAAACAAAATACACAATGAAGTAAAGAAACTTACATTTTGTACTAATGTTTATTTTAAAAAAATCGCTATCAAATTACAAGGCGATAATATAGTCTATGTCATTAAGCCCTCATAATACATCAGTACGTTTTAAGACCCATCCATCTGAATTTCCAAAACCAGACCAACAAGAGTTTTTTATGGCTTAAGTACGGTATACCATAACTTATTTCACTTATTACATTTCAAAAATATTCCTATAACTTTTCTTTAGCCAAAGTAATTTTCCTCAACTGGAGGTTCTGGGAAAACACTCAATTGAATTCCCATAACTTTCCAAATGTATACAAACTATGTTTGTGATTAATTAATCTAAAATACACCTATAAATTAATGCAGGTCTCACTCCGATTAAAGACCACTTTTTTGTGGTCCCAAATTAACAAATGTCTTATCTTTACTATTTTAGAGACCAAAGCTGCTAAAGACCGTGGAAATCCCAGTCCTAAAATTGGTCTTTAATTGGAGGGAGATCTATACTTAATAAGGTTATCAAATTCCACAGATCTACAGATTTCGTTAAATACCAAACTTCTATTTATTCTGCTGTTAATTAGTGAAGAAAACTAAAGCTAATACTGTAACTTTAAATATATACATTATGCAACCAAATATTTTTTTCTCCAAATATTTAAATTAATATAATTATATTCGAATTTGCTTAAATTCTGATACCTGGATCTATCATGAAGTCTAGACTCCTGCTTCCATCCAATAATGATAGAGCTGTACACAGTAATCCTCTTCCAATTATTTCTTTGTATGAAGGATAACAATACGGTGCTCTTTTCTGATCAACAGTTAAATACCTAAAAAACATTTTCTTTGGACTATGTGTTCTTTGTACTGTAGGTCTTCAAAATAGCATCCATGCATGCATAAATGAACCAAGCAAGCTAAAACCTTCAAGAAATATATACTTGATCAGTGGCGGATCCAAGGCGGACCAAGAGGCCCCCCCCCCCCCCCCCCTAAATTGAGCAAAAAAGAAATATATATTCACATAAGTGAGAAAATGCCATTTCCGGCCATCTAAAAGTACCATATCATAAATTCTCTTTCCTCAGTCCTAACCATGGTGGGGCTGAGGTGGTAAGGTAAGGTGAAAGACCTTCCCTCGGTCCCATCTACTTCAAATTCCTGGATCCACCACTGTTTATACAGATGTATGCTTGTGCATGAGAAGCAGAAGATACAGTAGATAATTGTACACATGCTAAGAAGTACATGTTCTACACAGTGGCGTAACAAAGAGGCCTGGACCCCTTGGCTAAGTCTTCTTCAGGCCATACTCCCCTGAGGGTCATGCAGGGTGCAGTGTGGGGTACAGAGCGAAGCCATCCCCTCTGGAATTTTAAACATTTTTACATGGCGTACTTCTTAAATCTGCAAGATGCCCTACTATGCTGATTCGGTAACATGGCCTTGGCTAAAATAAGCCGATTAATATCCCCGGGCCCTTGGTTTTAACCAGAAAAAGCTCATATGCATTACGCCACTGATTTTACACAATTGCACTGATCACATATTCTGTTACACTTTAATTTTAATAAATAGTTTAGAGGGTGGAAATTTACCAGTTGTTCCTGATTTTCTCACTCATTGGATAAGCACATGTGTTCACAGGTGGAAGAAGCCACTTGCAGATGATCTGGTTAATGAGCCTTTAACACATAACCATGGCAGCTAGCATCAGGGAGAATATAATACTGTAGTAAATCATGCAAACATTCTGAATTTGCGGGAGATGGTTAGTTTCCGAAGGGGAGATTTGTCACCCAGAAAATTTATCTCCCCCACCCAATCATATCAATCGCTCTAGTGAAGTTGACGCAGGCCATTCGCTTATTCGGTGAGTGCGCTTATCACTGTCTATACCAGCAATCAAACACATTTCCCCTGCCTAAAATTTTACCTTTCCCCCTCACTTGACTCCAGATTTCAGAGGAATGTTGATTGTCATAAACTTGGAACCCCTGGATTAGAAACTGGAATAGAGCTATTAAGTATTAATTATTTTATTAGATTTGCATTCAACTTGGGTGTAGCATGTATGTCAAATAAATTTTCATTGAATACATTACGCAGAATACCCGATGCCAAAAGAAATCACCTCAAAGCTGAAGGCAATTAATGACAGATGAGGAAGAATTCGCCAAACATGATGTTATGATCATGTTGGGGACTGCTCGAGTCCAACAGTACTGATGAGAAGTACTGCGAATACAACTCGTAAAGCCCTATCCACACTATTAACTTTTCTTTGACAAAAAACTATTGTATGCCCATATACAGTCATGATGTGCCTATATATGGTCGTGATGTGATGTCACCATGACCATATTTAGGCATGTCACATGTTTTTGCCAAATAAAATGCGATAGTGTGGACAGGGCTTAATAATAATCTCACTTGCCTGTGTTTAGGTCATTGATAAGCACACTATCACAGTATCTGAAAAAACAGATGGTAATGTTGCCATTGAACTTTACACGCACTAATTCAGTTCAGAGATCTCACAATTTGTGATCACATGTTAAGGTAGGTGATCACAAATGTCAGTTTTAAGTAGGCGATCACACATGTCATTTTAAAGTAGGTGATCACGTATCTCATGTTAAGGTAGATGATCACAAATGTCAGTTTTAAGTAGGCGATCACACATGCCATTTTAAAGTAGGTGATCACGTATTTCATGTTAAGGTAGATGATCACATATGTAGGTGATCACATGTGTTTAATTTGGTTTCCATGTTGATTTGGAAACAACTTATAAGTGATGATCACGAGTTCTAATCACAGACATCACAATTTGTGATCATTTCGTTAAAGCAGTTTTGTTAAGATAGGCCATCACATGTGTTTCCCATTAAGTCATCACATATGTCTCAAGTTAGGTAAGTGATCATGTCTAATGTTAAGGTAGGCAATCACATATCAGCCTTACTATACTATTATACTATTATAATTAGATATTATACTAGTAATCACATGTGTCTCTCAGGAGTAGTATAAAGGTGACTGCAATGATGATGTAAAATATCAGTTAGCGTGGCATGGGATAAGTTTTTAACATCTCCCAAAACTCAATGACAAATATGAAACATTCATATTTGAAGCTGCACCACCATAGCCCAGATAAAATAAACATTCCAGATCTGTTGTTGTATATGTTATTTATAGTTTTGTTTTTAACGAAGTCACCAGCAGTTTAAAAAGTGGTTGCATGCAGCTATTTCTATTTGCAAAGAAAAAGAAGGCGCATGGTTTAATAGAAACTGTCATATTAACAGGAAATTGCACTGATGGAAAAATTCATTTAATTCACTGACAACATAACACTGCAATCTGAAATTATTTCTTTTCACATTGCATATCTAATTCACTTATTTCCTTTTTACCTTGTAAGAAGGCAACAAATCACACTGACTAGTCATGATCACATGCCTCAAAACTTGTGATCATGTGCTGTGCAATGAAATAAAGATCACAAGGACCTCATTTGAGAAGTGATAATTAGTGTTCAGGCTGTGAAGTTGTGATTTGCACTAAGATATACATGATCACATGTATCTGGTGACATACATGATCACATGTAGATCATATGTATCTCATATTTCTATTCCCTTACATGGTAATGTGCATTTATTTTTGATAAAACTAGATATATGTGATTTTTTATAGCTCCGATCTGTTTTAAAACCTTACATCTTTCCATTTCCAAAATAATTTGTTTCTGCTGTTTGATGAATTTGAATACAAAAAGAAATAAAACCATCACTAATATGTTTTCTTAAAAAACATACTTCTGTTTGAAGTATTATTTTTTTTGGACGCACCTTTATCATGTTAAGTGTACCACTGTTTCAAAAGTGTAGTTCCCCAATAAATTATTAATTATTATTATTATAAAAATATACATCTTAGACCAGGTTTTTTAAGTGGTGTGGGCAATTGTTAAATTGAAAGATGCACTACACACTACAGGATATTAACTTTCGCCAACTGATTATAGTTGGGGACGAATTGTCCAACAGCAATGCATGACTGCTGTGAAGTTGGAAATGTTCCCATAAAAGTCAAAATTTCGACCAGGTTATTAAGAGGTCTGGGCAACAGTTAATTTGCAAGATACACTACACACTATAGGCATCATTAACCTTCGCCAACTGATTAGAGTTGGGGACGAAATGTCCAACAGCAATGCAGGACTGCTGTGAAGTTGGAAATGTTCCCATAAAAGTCAAAACTTGCCTTTGAGGGAAATGCTGAACTCGCTTTAAAGAGTCAGTTGAGTATGCCTTCACACTCTAAGAAGAGAAAGTGCAGAAAAGAAAAACATGGTTTGTTTCATATTTAACAATACTAAATTCAGTGTGCATTTGAGTTGGGGGCAATCTAAACATGAAAATAATATGGATAAAGTGCATTGCTTAAGGACGACACCACCTTTAGAATAAGGGCACAAGGTTGTCAGCCTGGCTCTGTTTAAATAACTGGCATGCTAGCATTATGCTGAAACTAGTATTATAATGCAGGGATTTTGAACTATGAATATGTGAATTAACATACTGGCTTCCTTGTACCAAACAAAATTGCAGAAAATGGAAAAAATGGAACTAGCCACTATACAAATAAAAGGGCATGAAATAATTTCCAGAATTGTGGAGTTTCGCTACTCCATTCACTTGACAGGAGTCAAGAAATTTGCTACCTGTTAATTCTTTAAGTATAAGAACATAAAAGTTATATACTGTGTATTTTTCAAATATACAATGACACAAACAATTCACCAACATATTGTTGGGGACTTTAACTTTAACTAGGACCTCAAACACTTTCATCCAATCACATCAGTCAAACTGATCATAAGACTTTTTAAAGTTTTTCTAATGTTCAAATCCATATCTGAAAATTAGTGTAAAGGAATTATGGGCAGCGCAAGAGAGGTATCCAAGGGTCCTTAGTACCATAGCCCCACCATGGTTGGGGATGAGGCAAGCAACTTGTAAGAGTAGGCAACTCTAGATGCCTGTAAATGGCTCTCTCAGACTGTCAAACGCAGCACTCACTGATGAAGTGACTGGTTTCTTTAAAAAGGAGGTCTAGAGTTTACAACAAAGAGTTTCTTTAAACTCCTCCACTGGTACTGCCCCACCCACTGGTACTGCACCGCCCACTGCCACTGTTTATTAGATGAATATATTTTTGGTCGTAGTTTTCAGGCAAGCCCAACAGCTACAGCTGTGAATTGCATAGAAGAAACAAACAAACTGGTGGTCATGACAACTTTATTTTACATTGTTGTTTTCAAACATTTTATACATCATTATCTAATGAATGAGTCATTCCTGAGAGGAGAGACAATAAAAACACATAAGAATTAAATCTATGTTCGGCAACCTTTTATCCCCTAGGACCCAAAATAAATTGCCATAGCCTCCCATGACCTAAGGCCTCTAGTTACCCTACCCCCCCCCCTTAGAAATATCATAAAAAAAACAGAATATACTGCCAATATATAACAATCAAAATACTGCGTAGTAAATTTGGCACCATAGGATCTGCAAACTCATACACCTTTGGCTCAATGTGACATCAACTGGATATTTAACATAAATTTAAAGAAATTAGCCAACATTTTAATGAATTACTCTATACCAAGTTTTAGTTTGATGTTTTCATAGGGATCTTAATTTGTCTTAATGTTACTTGCAACACTTTCTATCATTTTTGAGATTAAGATTTGACATGACAACCCTCAAAAGTTCATCCCTGACCTGGGTTGTGACCCATGGGTTGCCGACCATAGAATTAAATAACAAGACTGTCTCTTATACACATCTAGATGTGTATAAGAGACAGTTTCTATTTTACTTCATCTCTGTAGTAAACAACTTGATAATCAATTTTACCTACCTAACCACATTGACAAAATAAAAAAATATTTTAAAAGTGCTTTTAAGCTTTGGATACTTGTGCCAGTTATGCAATGGAATCACAAACTAATCAAGAAAAACTAGAAGAAATTTAATTTAACTACATATATAGACAGTGAATTTTAACACATTTCCAACAGCTAATTTGAATAGAATAAATTCCCAAATCAATACAATAATCTTTTACATGCAGATTATGTAAAGTAAATGAATATAGCACAATGTATAAATTGATATTTATGTGTTTACATTAATGACTTATATAGTTATCTATAATTCGATGTGATCAATCGCCAAATTTGAACTGAATACTTAATTAAGGTACCGTAAAACCTTGAAAAGAAGCCCAAAGGGATTATTCTCGAGAAGCAGCCCATCTCGAGTTGAAGTTAATTAGCAAAAATAGCATTAAAAAATAAGCCCCTGGACTTCTTTTCAAGATAGCATGGGCTTCGATATACAGCGGCCCTAATGTTTTATAGTAGTAATTCCCAAAATTTAAAACATTTTTAAAAGAAGATCTCCTCTTTTAATTTGCAAAAGTAACCTCAAAAAGAAGCCCATCCAAAGGTCACAAAGCCCAGGGCTTCTATTCGGTTTTTACGGTACAGTATTTTAGTTTTATCGTTAACAACATACCTTTGTATTGTGTCCAGAAAGATTCTGAAGTTATCACAAACCTTATAATCAAGATTTCAAAAATCCTCTACACCAACTGGAAATGACCCGGAATTGTACCGTAGTACAAAAATATCCATTACTTGAGTCAAAAACCCCCTGCCACTTACCCAATACTGTTATGTAACCATACAACAGATGAGCAAAAAAACTACCACTGAAATCAAGATCTATTTTTAAATTTTATACAGCGCCCTCACAGGCAGAATCTAAAAATTTGGGGAAAAAATGGTTGCAAGAGATGAGAGCTTCTACTCATCTACAAATCCGTGAGTGTTTAGCTTGAAATGGATTCCATCTCAGTACCTACTATTTCCCGGCCTCATCATGCCGGGGGGTAGTTGAAGGAGTGGTGGTCTAGGCCCAGTGGGCATCCGATGCTGCTGTTGCTGTTGCATCATGGATGGTGGTTGATACATTGGCCTCGACTGACCCATCTGCATCCGACTAGGCATGCCGCCTAAAAGCGGCCTTGGCATATTATTACCTAATTAGACAAATAATAATAATAATGACAAACTGATGCAATAATAACATTACATAAGTAAACAAAATGTCCAAAATTATATGAATGACAATCAACTGTATTAATTTCTTGGATGGATCCTACCTTCAATTTTTACAGGAATTAAATTGATTGTTTTATTGATATCTAAAATTCATTTTGTCAACAAATGGGGGTTGCATTTTGGAAATAAAATTATAAATAAATAACTTAAACATAGCCTCTCATTCTTATACTTAATATATATTTTTTTATTTACATCTAAAATTCATGCCCAGTGTTTGATAAATATTTGTTAAGAGCAGTCTTTAGCACCCTAACCCCTGAGCCCCAACTCTCACCTTGGTGCATTTGCATCTGATGTTGCATCCCCATTGCCATATTACCCCCTCCTCCTCCTCCTCCACCATTTCCACCACCCCCACCTACACCTGAAAAACAATGAATAAATTTATTTATTTATTTATTTACTTTGAGAACATACACCTTTGGAATGGCGGCACACACAAGAGTGGTGCGTTTGGCTTAAATTTCAAAAATATAAAAATTAACTAAAGAAAGAGCACACTTCAACACAATCATTAATAAAATATGCAAATAAATAAATATATTAACTGTTTTTTGCAATTTTAGCTTCATGTATAATTAGCTTCCAACCCTATGTATACACCTCTCCAGATGAAATCCCCACCCCATGGGACTAGTGAAACTTCCCAAACACATCTTTAGTAGCTGGGAACTCAAAGCCCAAGTTAGATGCAAACAAAGTTCCCAAAGCTCATGGAGGTAAATACAGCATACGAGATCCATACAACATTCAATGCTCTCGGGGGTGCTATTCAAGCCACCCCCCCCCCACCTCCCGACAGCATTGAACTTTAAGGCGGGCACTCACTGCCGGTGTATGATGGTTGTATGACAGTCGTACGGCAAATCCCAGTGAGCGCTGAGGATGTGATGCCGTCTGCCGATTTTCGGTAGCAGTCTGAGCGAATCGTTATAAAAAACAATCCATTGCATGGGCATCGTCGCAGTGCGTTCTTTATAGAATCGCATCGGCTGACGACCGTCAGGCGTAGTCAGTGCCCGGCTCAACATCACACTTACATCTCTACCAGCCTACATCCCTCAACCCCAAAATCCTAGTTCTGGAAATGCTTTTATTTTAGTATTCAAAATCAAATACATGAACATGTTAGTTAAATAGCATAATATTTAGCAACTGACGGGAAGGTGCTAATGAATGAATGGAGGAAGGAAGGAAGTGTTATTCTCACTAAGTCCTTCACCATGCCACTAAAGCTCTGTCCAGATTATCATATTTTCTTGTCCATATATAGTCATGATGTGCCTATATATGGTCATGATGTGATGTCATCACGACCATATTTAGGCATGTCTAATGCTTTTGTCAAATAAAATTTCATACTGTGAACAGGGCTTAAAACTTTACCTTAAAGCTCCTTTCTGAGTGTTTTTTTGAGGTAATAATTAAATATTTCAGCTTTACCTTGTTGCAAGGGTCTATGCGGCCTCATTGGGGATTGCCCCATCAAACCTGGCATGCCTTGCGGCCGTTGCTGCATCATCATAGGTGAGCTCGTATTCGGTAGGCTTACAGGCTTCGTTACTTGTTTGGCAGCATATTTTTGTAGAGATGATCTAATCTCCTCCTACATAAAAAAAATAAATAAATTGTTTGGTTAACGATAATGGTCCTGCTTCTTATTGTACAGAAGACCCCGATCCAAACCATGCTAGTGTTGGTGACTGCTTGGACGGCTCGTCGGAACAACCCTCACAAGAAATTTAGACAAGATAAGGGACAATATATCCCTTACATGTCATTACTGGCACTGCTCTGTGGCTGTTACAAGTTTTCCCCTAGAGGATTAGTAATAATTCCCAATTTCAAATATTAATTTTTTGCGAGACAGCTTATTCCAAATATTAATTGAAAATACATCTTTGATAAATGAAAGAGACAAAATAAATAATCATACCAACGATATATCTTCATCTGGATGCATAATTTTACTTGTTGCGCTTGAGCTGGACACCTTACCCGCAACGGATGTTGTCTTGACAGTGGGGGGAGCTGAGGTGATTGTGGTTGTCGAGGGCTGTGCGCTTACTGTAGGACTTGGTTTACTTATTACTGGACCCACTGCTTTGCTTACCGGATGATGGGGACCAATCAACCCTGTGCTAGGCATACTAGTAGTGGTCTAAAATATAAACAAAAATGTTTTACCATGAAGCTCACCCATAAGTTTAACGTAAGAAACTTCATTGGTTCATAAGACGAGAATATGAGACTTGTTTTTATACAAATGTATATGAGTGTAAAACAAGTAAAATCACAATGTAAGTAATAAAACAAAAATTAACTAATAAAAATATTGGTAATTCTAAAAATCTGAAACATATTATAAATAATAGAACTACGATAAAAAATATGTATTAAGTATAGTGTGGGTAATAACAAACATATATACTCCATACATATTGAACGTAATATTATGTCGTATTATTATGATGTGATTATGATAATGAATGTTCTACCACAAAATAGAAAAAAATAAAAGCTTTAATAAAGCTGGAATAACCAATATGAATAGAACACTTGTTTACAATATGGTAAAGATTTTTTGCATGTACTGTATAATAACAGTTAACTACCCCTTGTAGCAATTGGCTGGCTGTGTGTGGGGGATCTCACAATCCACCTTATGCAACAGCATTATTGCATGCAAACCCCCTTTTCCAACAGCATTATTGCATGCAATTTTTGAGATCAAGTGCAATAATGATACAGATACTGAACAGAAAAAAAAATCTGCAGCAAATTTTAATAAGAAGTAAATATCTGAGGTCTCACCACAAAATCAGTCTCATGGTTAGAAAATAAAAATTGTGTTTATATTCTATTTGGGAAGATCACATTACAAGCTTTAATTTGGGCTTTGAATGGCTTCCCTAGGTTAAGTAGATCTACAGATGTGAGCATTAATAATTTAGGTGTATGAGAATCATGTTTTGAGAAAGTCGGCCTCAGAGATAAATAAACTTGTACAAATAATAGGACTAGAATTATAGAATATGTGCAAAGAACACTGTAAGAAAATTCACTTAAAACGTATACAATCATAAAATACCAAGTATCATAATTTGGTGAATATCTCAATGATTTCACCAACGATGCATCTCATTTCGTGGTGAGAACTCACACATTTTCTATTTCATAAGGATATTATCTTCTTTCGTACACAGTTAAATATTTGATTGTAATAAACAATAGATGACACTATTCAGTGATTAACCTTTTCCTATACTGGTCCCCCCTCCAATTAAAGACCCCTTTTCCAAGGGACAAAATTAACAAATGTCTTATCTTTGAAGACTGTTGAAGACCATTCATCTCCATTCCCAGAAGTATTTTTAATTAGAGGGACACCTGTATTTATGACAAATAATCACTTCAAAGATTTTATGAATAAATAATATACGAGAAATTTTAACTCCAGAAACCCCTTTATAATGAGAAATACACTTACCGCAGCCGCACTGGGGAACAAAGGTTTGGCTTGGCTACTGGATGGGGTTGATGATATGGTTGGGGGTACAAGGGACTCGTTGGCTGTACTGCTAACTGTGGTTGAGGCAGGTGCCATTACAGGTGGACGCATCATACCAGGCATCATGGAGGGTGTCATATTTGGCATCATGGGAGGCATTGGTCTCATCATAGGTACTGACATCCTAGAAGTAACAAAAGTCATTTCATTTCAGAGTGAGCATACCTCTGCCCTGTGCCTGAATACTGAACAATACGCAGGCAGCTGAGTGTATGGC